ATACTCTGAATTACCTTGACCTTTTTCTACCTGTGATATTTGAAGGTGCGTTGAATGATTTTTGTTGGTTATCTCTTCCTGCCCACTTAAGGTTTTGATAAGATGTTTGGAGTTGAGGGTCCTCCGCTCGTTAAGTGAAAATATATAAAATAAAATAAAAATTAAGTATAAAGATAAAATAAGGAGAGGGTGTACTGTCATATTGTAAGTAAGTATATATATAGGGACTACTGATGGGATATGACAGAGATTTTCTGTCACAGCTCCGGGTAAATCACTGTGACAAATCACAGTGATTACTCACTAGTGATTTTTTTTTAGATAAATATATAATGGGTCCTTGGCGAAAGCGTCACTGTGAAATCATAGTTTACGTGTTTATAATTATATTAAAATAAATGTTTTTCTTGTGATGAATTTTATATTTGACGGGGGATAATATCTCTGGGAATCTCTTTGTTTCTGTATACAGCCCTGCAGAGAATATTTGAATTTATTTATTTTTTAATTATAATTTCTTATATTTCAACAGTTAAATGAAAAACTTTCAGTTAATTATTTCAGACATGACTCATTCAGAAATATATGGCAATGAATATTCAATTCATCTAAGTCCAAAAAGTATTTTTAATAAAATTTGACAAATAACTATTATTTTAGAAATAATTATTTCATGATTATTCCTTTATTGCATTTATTAAATAAGTGATATCAACAATGCCCAGATCGCTGGAGCGAAAAAGAAGTGATAGATACTTCGGAGTGATCAGAGTTGTGATTTTACTAACAACGATCGTCACTGTGATTTCGGTGCGCCTGTCACTGTGATCACCAGCTCCGGGCCCAGTCACAGTGACAGAATATCAGCTCCGCCTATATGGCCCCATCACTAATAGGGATGTGACGGTCTAGTAAAAATCTATCACTGTTCCAGTGACAAAATTGGAACTGTGACAAATTACCGGTCCAGTGACAGTGGCAATGACAAAAGTTTTCTTATCCATAACCTTCTTTTATTTATGAATATATTAATACTTTTGTATTATATTTATTACCTAACAGTCCTGTTGTCCATTAATCAATTAATAAGTAGTCTGTTATCACAAAAAAGAAATTTCATTGTTTTAAATAATTTACTTTATGAAATCAGAAAATTGTGAGCTTGTAACTGAATCGATATATATATAAACGAATTTGTGTCATAAGCATGCATTTATTATGATTTTATATAGAAAAGTAAAGTCGAAATTTACAAAAACCATATTTGAAAATTAATCTATATCAAAAATACACTTTGTATATTTACAATAAACCGCCGATATATATAAGTAGGCATAAATCATATTTGTGAATATTAAAACAATAATGTGATTTGTTTTGTTGAATCTCAATATTCACAGAAAACATATACTATTAACAGTCGAGAAAATAGTATTTTTAATTTTAATTAAAATTTTATTTGTGTTTGATTATTATTTATTCATCTTCGTAATAGTTTCATTCCATCCAAATTCAACAAATTAAATAGTGTGGTGCATGTTAGATTGTTATTAATATTTAATTGACTCTTGATTATTTTTATTTTTATTTTTTGGTAACCCTACCGTCTCCACTGAGGATCCAGCAAGTTTGTTGCGGAAATAATTCTTTAAAAGATTTTTTTTTTTTTTTTTTATTTCTTTATGACATTTACAACTGTATTACATAAATACATCAAGTAAATTTGGACATAATTGATATAATGACATGAATACACTTGCTGAGTAACTACCCAATGGTAGCACTCTATCTTTAAAAGTAAAAACCATTACAGGGTGTATATTTAAAATTTGAGGGTGTATATTTAAAACTTTTTTTGAGATGGATTTTGTATTATGGGAGGGGAGCAAATTTAAATTCATAAAATTGGGAGGATAATATATATATATATAAAAGATAATCTTGGGAAAGAGACTATAATAATTTTTTTGAAAACTTATTATTGAAAAATATTACAATCTGTCTCAAAGACATTTATAATAGTCTTCTGAGATCACATTCACACTCTATGTATAATAATTATTAGTAGAAAAAGGCCTTTTCAGTCTCGATAAATAATTACTTTATTTCAAATTTATCCAAATTTTTGCCTCTTCAGAGATAATCTGATTTTATATGTAATTTACATTTTCATCTGAAAAAAACATATACAAAAATATAAAAAAATATTTCTGAGAATTTACTATTAGACATTAACCCATTTTTAAAACCATAATAACCTTTAAAAAAATATTCACCAGTCAACAATGTATGTATGTATATATAGCGGTAACAGATTCCCGCCTCTTGCCACAGAGGACTAGTTCATCTACTTGCCACCTGGCAGCGCTATACAAGCTCGCTCGTGCAATGCACATAAAAATTGTATTTTTATTTCTTATTGTTATATGATAAAATATTCAAATTGTAAACTAAAATATGTATACACATTTTAAATACTTTTTTTTTATAAAGTTTAATGGCGATAACATGTACTGATCAAAGCTTAAAAATAACTTTTATTGTAACGGCTCTTGATAATGGATTCAGTTTTGACGGAAAGAATATCGCAGACTTGTATCGTTTCTAAAGTTATAAAATAAAGTATATTTCGCAATGCTTACACTTGTTTACATGTGCAATCACTGCACATAAGCTTCAACGAGTGTATGTTTATACATGGATAATCTACCTTGAACGTATGTACTTACTGATGACAGTATAACCACTTACACAGAACGTTGGGAACTCTTCTAATACATGGAGGATTGTTCTCGTTCGGTTGTGTCGTATTTAATTGTGCAAATGGTTACGCTGTCATCAGTAAGAAAGTTCATATAAAGAGTGTGACGCCCTAGTGACACCATGAAACAGTGACAGATTGTCGGTCTAATGATTGACAAAAATCTTCCATTTTATTATCCAATCTCTTACTTAATTTATGGATATACTAGTATGTTATGTGTCATATTTATTAATCAACAACCCTCTTGTTTTCCATTAATTAACCGAAATGTTGTAGGTTATCGTAAAAAAGACATTGCATTACTTTATGAAATTAATCCCCTAATGGAATTAGAAAATTGTGAGCTTGGTACTATAAATGAATTAATAAATGTATTGTATTGTAACTATAAATGAATTAATAAATTCATCAATTTATGAATTAAAGACATCTAATTTTAGTTACTTTTTATGCCAAACTACTGCGCTCTGTGACAGTCACAGGTACAGTGGCTTAATAATAATTATTATTATTAATATTAGTAAATTATTATTAATAATAATTATTAATTATTATTTATTATAATTATTAAGCCACTGTAGTCACAGGTACGCAGCAGCAAGTAGCTATGAGTAAAAGTGGTTTTCTCTCAATTGCCAAGTAACAAATTGTTTTAAAAAAATATTTGAATGGAATGATTCGTTTACGAAAATGAATAAATAATAATCAAACAAATAAAATTTTAATTAAAATTAAAAATACTAGTTTTTCGACTGTTAATAATATATATTTTATGTGAATATTTGAGATGGATTTTATATTATGGGAGGGGGGGATAATCCAACTTTAATTTCATAAAATTGGGAGAGGGGTCTAATTTAAATTTTCATCTGAAAAAAAACAAACAACAGTGTTTCAACTGCCTCCTGCAGTGCTACATCCTATCCCCTGATGAAGACCTGCAGAGTGGGTCGAAACGTCGGCAAAAATTAAATAATTCTATTTGTTTAATTTAGTATTAATTTGTCCGCACCCCCCGATTAACTCCTTCTCATAATATATCAACGGTCAACCATCTCTGCATCATCATAAACAATAATCTTTCAGAGGATTTACTAATATACATTAGCCTATTTTTAAAACCATAATAGGCTTTAAAACAATATTCACCACTATATATATATATATATATATATATATATATATATATATATATATATATATATATATATTATGGTTCTATTTTAAACCATTGAAGAGGATCCCATTGTTGGTAAACGTTAAAAAAAGCGGAAGAATAGAATCGTCGAATAAACAGCAGGATTAATGAACATTTTGTAATAGTATTCAATAATAATTAATTGACCTAATTCCCAGTTTGAATAATTATCCTATATATTATTTCTAAAAGGTGTTTTTTTTTTTGTCGGTACGCCATAATTTCGTCAATTCTTCATCAAGTCCAATGATTGACCATTCATTTTGAAGATATTCTGTTCCTTCTCAGACGAAAATAGTCCTATCCCTCCGAAATTTCTGGAAAAAAAGTTATGAAAGAAAAGAAACTTTATTTGCGAATTAATCAAAAAGTATGCATTTTTCTCGGGATTGTACCCATGATAATTAGAAAGAATACTAAATTACCTACAAAACAAAAAAATAATAGTGAAATTCGGACAATTATTAACAAAGATACAGTCCATTAGTTTCGGTATATTCAATAATGTCCTGTTTAAATATATTGCATTTAGGAGTAGAATAGTCTACTACACTTTTATTCCTAGCTTTCATATTAACTTTATTATTTTTTAAAGACATTTTGTTGTTCTTACATTTTATTTTTTTTTAATAATTTAGTATAACCTATGATCGGGCCATTATTTTGTCTTTATTACTTTTATTATCTTTCCAGTCAGCGTTTAAAAATAGGTCCTAGCAAAGCAATTTGTATAAATATTTTTGTCTATTATGTTTAATGGAATATTGTAATCGACTAAGGAAAAATTATTAATTCCTTCCTTACATAATACATAGGAACTACATATTTCCATATTTTTTTAATATTTCTTCACTAAACAAAATTATCCGCGAATTTTTCGCACGGGCCAACTAGTGTTAACACATAATACTTAAAAGTCGATTGAAGAAATTTTGCATCTATATATGTGTATATATATATATATATATATATATATATATATATATATATATATATATATGTTAAACTAAAATACAAAAGTCTTATTGTTTCATGTAGCTTACCTGGAAAGAGATGACTACAATATTATCAGTGTTGATTGGGGCAAGTTGGCGCCTTCACCTTGCTACGTCACAGCAGCCATCAACACTGCAGTTGTCGGGAGATGCACCGCCAGACTGCTGGAACAGCTGTATTCAAAGAGAGGAGAGTACTTGAAGCAGCTCACACACGTCATAGGATTCTCCCTTGGAGCTCATGTCGCCGGCGCCATAGGGCTTAACATACGAGGTCTTCCATGGATCACGGGTAAATTGGAAAACATTTAGATTTTCCAAACAGCTTCACTTCGGAATCATGAATGTTAATAAAAGGTTTTGATCCCTACAGGTCTGGATCCAGCTCGCCCAGGATTCGATGAAGGCCTGTCAGATCCTAATCATAGGTTAGACCGTTCAGATGCCCGTTTCGTGGAGGTGTACCATTCCAATAGCGGCTTAAGGGGAAGGTATGATCCTTTAGGACATGTCGACATCTATATCAATAATGGACGGGCGCAACCAGGATGTAATTCTAGTAAGTAGATATCTCTTGGACGAACTAAATTAGTCTTTTGGGATGTGAAAGCTATAGCAACCCTACTCCTGTACGTTTCAAACGGTAACGAATTGGAGTAAGGTTTCTATAAAGCAGACCCTAAACGGCAATTCATGAATGAACGTCACAAGAATTGCCAAGATTGCCCGCGATCGCTTTGATCATGAAGATCCTTAAACGTTCAATCATTACTGATCATTACTTATCGTTGCTGATACCAATTTAGCTCAGTTCTAAACAAAGAAACAGCATAGATATGCTTATTTGGACATTGTCAATTATAATATTGGGCATCAAGAGAAAAACGGAGATATAATAATTACTTCCTAGTGCCTGAAAATCGTTTAGACCAAAGTTAGAAAAATATAAGTCAACTACATAAAAATCTAGGAAAAGTATTGCGAAAGTAATCAATTTGTTAAGAAAAATGGAAAAATTAATGGCAAATAAACAAAACAGTTAAAAATTTTTTTTCTACAAGTAAATTGTGAAGTTTCCACTTTTTTTTCTCTTCAATTTATTGCCTACTTGACTATTTAAAGAAAAAAATAGTTGAAAATGGTTAATAATAATATAGACTAGGGATATAAACAACTATTTACTTAATAACGAGACCTAGGTAAACTAATCTATCTAGTAGTAGTCTCATAGAAGGTTAGTCTCATAGAAAATCGTTTTGACAAAAGTTAGTAAAATATAAGTCTACTACTTACAAAAATTAAGGAAAGGTATTGCGAAAATAATAAATTTGTTGAGGAAAATGGGAAAAGAACTGATAAATATACACAACGTTAAAGTTTTTTTTCTTCTTAAAGTAAATTGTGAAGTTTCCTCATTTTTTTTTTAATTTGTTGCCCACTTGACTATTTAAAAGAAATAGTTGAAGATGGTTTAAAATTATAAACAAGGGATATGAAAAATTATTTAACTATTTATATATAATGAAAATCAGAAATTTATAATGGTTGTGAGGCCTAGGTAACCTAACTTATCCAGCAGTATGGTTAGTCTCCCCACTACTTTTACCTCAGTCCCCCCTCCACTTCTCGTGAATGAACCTTTGATTTCCGGATGTTCAGAAATCCGCAGCGCACCACCATCAGTACTTCATTCACTACCTTACACGACAATTCGGAACGTCATTAGTGCAATTCCAAATGACCGTGTAGGGTCCGCTATAATAAAAAGGAACCTATTTCTGTGGCGCTGCTCGGTAGTCTAAGTATGACGTCATATCTAAGCTGCTCCTATCTGACCGCTCCTGAAGCAGTGAAGCTGTTGGCGGTTCGGCAGTTCTAGGTTATGTTATCATATCAGAGTATTGTTTTGATGATAAAAGTCATGTTGATACGTTTTATTTCCTATGTTTCTTTCAAGTCTGGCAAAATTATAGAAATATTATTTAAAACTTAAGCAATACAAAAATAGAGAAATATAAATATGCCTAAACCCAAACAATATTAAATAAATTAAAGAATCCAACAAATTTTAACAACAGGTAAATACTAAAATCCACCCATTGAAAAATCGATTTGTATTTTTTAATTAAAGTGGTGATTTACTGATTACTATTGATAAAACGATAAAACATCGCCTGCTGTGATTTAATAACAAATATATGATATTTATTACTAATCAATTATGTTATAATTACTATTACTTTTCAAACTAATAGTATCTAATAACAGAGGGACTATTGTTAGTACGGCGTTTCCCGCCTTTTGTTCTTTTTATGTTGTTCATCTAAACGATAGCAAACAATGTCCAAGAAGAGAATTGATGATGAGCATCTCATCGAAATACTGATATTCCTTCTCCTCATGAACAACATTTTCTCTTCTTCCTTTTCCTCCTCTAATAAAAAAGCAGTAGTCAGAGATGTTCATTATTATAGGATTATAGGATGTTAATTATTATTATTATAGGATGTCCATTTTTTTATCTTCGAAGCTAAAGCGAAATTTTCGAAGGTTATAGGGAGGTTATAATAACAGCCCCAGCGAGCAGCTTCAGCGAAATAGCTTCGCAACAGCGGTTGGCAGCGTGGTATTGCGGTCGCTGTCGTGGGCCGCGCCAGCGAAATAGTACCTTAATTCGACCTAGCACATTATGGAGTACTTTATTTTATTTTCTTCTGTAAAATGAGTGTACAATAAAGAATAATCATACGCGTCGACTTATTGTATTCGAATTCGATAAAACAATCTTTATACATTATTTCTTAAAAGTTTTTTTGTAAGTTTATCATAAAATCCAATGATTGAGCCCTCATTTTAAAAATATCCTCCTTCAGATGGATAAAAGTAATCAAATTCTTCCTAAATTTCATGAAAAGAAAATTATAATGGAAAAGAAATTCTATTTGCGAATAACTAAAAAAGTTTTTTTTTTTTTTATATTGAGTACAGTCTGCCACACTGAAGGGCATTGGTACTAGGGCTATAGTATTCATTCACACAATATGTATATAAGAAAGGGAAAAAACAACAAAAAAATGAAAATACATATAAATAAAAAGATAAAGTAATATACAAGATAAGTAAAATAACAGATTAGCCGAATAATAACAAAATAAATAAAACACATTCACACCTATGTACAATATTTACATTGGCCCAGGGGAATCCGAATCAAGCTTTGTACCCCAATTGTGGAAGCCAAAGCAGGACTCCAGGAGATCCCAGTGCTTCTCTCCCAGCCGCGTCACTGGTATAGTAAGCCATTAGAGCACCAGACGCTCAGGACATGAGTGAAGAATCTGGCCAATGCCAGTACTCCAATATATACATTTTTACAAAAGGTCGCGGGGTCACTGCCGTTTTAACCTCCGAGGAGGATTGTAGGGATGACTGGAGGTAGATAGAGACTGTGCTACAGCATTAGGATGATGAGTGAGATTCTGGTGAAATTGGAAAAATTTGTCTGGGATTAGGTCAAGTAAAAATGGGATATTAAGGTCATTGTGTATTGTTTTATTGGTTTCATAAAAGGGAGCATCAACTATTGTTCGAAGAACTTTAGACTGGAATGATTGAATGCCTTTGATGTTAGAAGGTTTTGCTGTTCCCCACAGTTCGAGTCCGTAGGTCCATATAGGTTTCAGGATTGTCTCGTAGACAATAAAACACTTGTTCTCAACGTAAAGTTGTTTTATTGAGTAGTCTATATAATTGGCCATATCGTCGGAACTCAAAAAGTATACTTTTTTGTGTTATAACTTCAACATCCTTTGAACTGAGAAAATTAGCATGAATTTTGTGCTATATAAACTGCACGAAATGATGCAAACTGGACCTCCGTAATCATATTAGAACTAGATATATGAAATAAAAATATGTGGTGTTTTAATTTGTCTATCATATAAAAAGGTTTTTAGTTACTTTCATACTTCATTTTATTTTACTATCAGGAGAGTAAGAGATAACAGGAGCTCAACTTATAACTTATGAGGCGATTATCTTACACAACTACTACCTTATTCTACAATCCATTCTTTCTTAGATACTTTGCTCCGTCAGACACGGGTCAAAACTATCTTATATTTCAGCAGGAGTACACCAAGATTTAGTACTCACTACATTACTTGACATTGCATACACACACCATATACCTTTTATTTCCAATATTTTAACAGCGAAATATGCAGTTGACCCAGGATTTTTAACAATGCACAAAAAAAGGACGTAATACATTTTTTTTTTCTCCTCCCTCAATATTTTATAAAAGGGTTTAGACTATCTTAATGTTGGACTCTCTCTCTCTCTCTCTCTCTATATATATATATATATATATATATATATATATATATATATAAGATAAAGACCGGAGACTGGCGATATCAGCCTTAATACCATCTTGTAATGTAAATAAACATAGCAATTGTATATAAGGCAGATTATTGAACGAATAAAGCAGTGTTAATTCAGAAGCCGTGAGTATTGTTTCTCGTTCCTCTTTCCTTCTTTTTTTTTATTTACAAAGCCCGGAGACGCTTAACTGGTGCCGAAACCCGGGAGAACGTCAGGAGAACACGGAAGTAAAATTTTTTTTTCCTTTCTTTATTTTAATTTTTTTTCTCTCTTCTCCTAGTCATAAGGAAAAGACGAGATGCCGACAGAGGGCATAATTCGACCAGGAGTGTTGAACGCACCTGAAATGCCGCAACCTCAGGAAATGCCGATAGCGCAGATTCCTCAGATCGCCCCTCAGGTTCCGCAGATTCCGCAGATACCTCAGATACCTCAAGTACCGCAGATACAAGAGATCCCTCCCTTACCTAGGGACACATTGGCAGAGGCGCACGCCAATGCATTGGAGTGGATGAAGATAAGGGCAGCGACCACGCAGGATCTACGGAGAGCAATCGCAGACCTGGAGCGATTCGGGGGCGAGATAGGTGAACTTAATCACTTCCTGAAAGGTGGAGACCGCCTCATATCAAGAATCGAAGCAAAGGTGGCGGAGGACCTCGTGAACCTGGGAGACGCAGAAGCACTGAAGGCAGCTCTCGTGTGCCGAGTGAGGAGGAACATCCTCAACCAAATCCAAGCGGACGAGGAGACACCATGGCCAGTGATTAAGGAGCGTTTGAAGAAGGCTTTCGGAGGGGGCCGATGGACGCCGGAAGAAGATATCTTCCAAATGTTTAGGGAGTGTCGGTCCCAACGCCAATCAAGAGGACAGTATGCGGGGGTACTAGTGGCGAAGTACAACCGCATAACTGAGAAAATGCGGGAAACCATGAGTGTGGGAGAGGTCGAAGCTAGGATGGAATTCCTTTCGACAATACTCAAGGTTCAGTTGGCTAAGGAGACTGGGAGAAGGGACGGACTGCCTAGAGAGCGATCGTTCCTCGAGTGTGCCCAAGAAATGATAGATCTGAGTGCAAGAGAGGAAGAGACGCGGATGGAAGTAGAAGAACCAGGGTGGACCCGAGTGAGTGACAGACGACCCCGGACAGCCCAGATCGGGTGGAGGAAGAGGGAAATGAAACACCCGAACGGAGAAAAAGCCACGACGGGCGAGAGAAGATCCGGACAGTCCAGGCCTAGGAATGGACCCCGGAGGGAAGACAGAAAATGTCACGGGTGCGGGAAACCGGGACATTTGGTAGCACAATGTCCGCGCACTAGATGTTTCGAGTGCGGGACGGAAGGGCATATTGCCAGACAGTGCCCGTACATGTTTCGCAGGAGAGAGAGACCTCTAGACGAGCCAATGGAGGTGAACGCTCAAAAGTTGAAAAAACGAGCTAGGATGCAGCAGAGAGACGGATCTTCGGAAGAGGCAACCGAGGAGTCGGGGACGTCGGGAACGGAGACTGACGAGCCAGCCAGCAGTGGAGGCGAAGGAGGCAGGAGCAGCCAACGGAGCGAGCAACGACGAGCGACGGCGGTAAGGAGGAAGCGAGGTGGCATCTGAGAAGGGTGTCAGCAGAGAGGCGACCGCACAGCAACCTGCAACAATATTAGAGGTAAGCCATGCTGGTTGCCGATTATTGAGGTAGACGGGGGAGTGAAGTGTCTCGTGGACACAGGGAGCTCGAGTACTATCTTGACTCGGGGGGCGTTGGGGAGAGTGTGCGGGAGCGAGAGGGTACTCCGGATACAAAACTGTGGCTGCCAGCTAATCACTCTGGGTGGTCCCTGTAAAGTAGAAGGGGAAGCGTCAATTACGCTTGATCGGTGGGCAGGGAAAAAGGGGGAGCTAAAGGTGCATGTGGTAGAGAGCATGACGCGGGAGTACCAAGTCATAATAGGGTGTGATCTGTTAGGACAGGTAGGGGTAAGCATTAGAAACCGTAGAGGAGCTTGGAGTATCAGGCTGGGAAAGAGGAAATTTGGATGTATAGGGGTCGCGAGAGAAAGAAGGGTGCGGATAGGAGCGGTGAACAGGGTGGAGGACTGGAGAAAGGCGTTACAAGCGGAGTTCGTAGATATTTTCTTCAGGGAGGGCGAGGTATTGGGGGTAACAGGGAAGACGGTACACGAAGTTCCACTGAAGCAAGATAGGGTGACCTACGTAAAGGAAAGGAGATACCCGCAGGCGCTGAGGCAGCATATTCGGGAGGAATTGGAAAGCCTAAAGGAGCAAGGGATCATAGTCGATAGCACCTCGCCATTTAATAGTCCCCTGTGGGCAGTGAAAAAGAAGGCAGCGCCGGGGGATAATAAGGAAAAATACAGAGTGGTAGTGGACTATCGTAGGTTGAACGACAACACGGTAGACGAAAAGTACCCGATCCCTAGATTCGAAGATATACTTGATAGGTTGAGTGGGGCCGTGGTGTTTAGCACGTTGGACCTCAAGGCGGGATACCACCAAATACGGATGCACCCGAAGGACCAACATAAGACGGCGTTTACATTCGAAAGGGGGCATTACGAATTCACCAGAATGCCGTTTGGTCTGAAGAATGCGCCCATAACGTTTCAACGCCTGATGGACGAATTTCTGAGGGGGATCGACGACTCCGTATGTCAAGTATACATGGACGACCTGCTGATTTTTAGCAGAACGGAAGCCGAACACGTGGGGCATTTGAGGTCGGTATTCGAAAGGCTGCGACAATTCGGGCTGAAACTGTCAAGTGAGAAGTCCCTGTTGGGACAAACGCGGATCAATTTTTTAGGCCACACTATTTCTAGCGAGGGGGTCAGACCGGATGCGGCAAAGGTGGAGGCTATCACACGAATGGCGGTGCCACGGGACGTTAAAGGGATTCGTAGGCTTCTCGGGACGCTGAATTATTATAGAAGATTCGTACCTGAGATGGCAGAATACTTGGTACCTATCAATAACTTGCTGAAGAAAGGCGCGAGGATCGTGGTGACACCGGAAATGGAAAATAATATTCGGAAATGCATGGATAGGTTGCAGGCAGAACCCGTATTGGCGTTCCCGGATTTTGAGAAGCAGTTCAACGTCACCACCGATGCGAGCGAATACGCGTTGGGGGCCGTTTTATCCCAGGGCAGAAGTGAGGGTGAACGTCCGATAGCATACGCGAGCCGACGACTTACGAGCGCGGAATCACGGTACAGCGCGTTAGAGAGGGAGCTACTCGCGATAGTGTGGGCCATCGACCATTTCAGGCCATACATATTTGGGAGGAAGTTTCGAGTCCACACCGATCACAAACCCCTTCAGTGGGTAGGAAAACTTAAGGAAACCTCTGCGAGGGTCACGAGATGGAAAGAATTCCTTAGTCAGTACAACATGGAGGTGGTGTATAAGCCGGGAAAGGAAAACGTGGTGGCAGACTGGCTCTCTAGGGCCATCATGATCAACGCGGTAGAAGAGGACGGGGGAGGTCCATCGCGGGACGTGCGCCAATTCTTGAGGGAATGGACTCCTGAGGGTGAAGGGGCAGATGATACCGTCAGTATAGAGGACAGGGAGGGGTCCCCGGAAGAAGATAGCTCAGCGGAGGAAAGACCAGTGGCGATGGAGGAAATAGACGAAATCATCAACGACAAGCATAGACAGGTAATCTGGAAAACCAGGACAACAGGGATCATGAAAATAGATTACCGAAGATACGGGAAAAGTAGGATTCGCGTCATTTGGTCGCAACCCGGGGTGAGCGAGGAGCAAATCCGTACGGCACTGAAGGACGCCACGGAACCGGGAAAGACACACCATCTCTATGTTGGGAACAACACGGTATGGGAGAAAATAAAGCGGATGTGGAGATCCGAGCGAATAGGCATGGATAGAACGATCATCCGGTGCAAGTATGCAGTGGAAACCGTACAGGATGAGGAGCAGCAACAAGCAATTACATTGGCATACCACCAGGGGAAGACCAACCACCGAGGCGTCAACGAGACGTTGCAGGCATTACGGCGAAAGTATTTCTGGTGGGGAATGAAAAAATCTATCCAAGGAATCATCGGGAAATGCGAGGTATGTATGCGCACAAAGTATGATCGACACCCCCCCAGAGGAGTTCAGGAAGAGACACCTACAGGGAATATGCCGCTACAAGACCTCCAGATCGATACATTCACCTGGAAAGGGTTCAAGTGGGTCACGATCATCGACACCTTTAGTAAAGTAGCTATGGCACATCAGGTCATGGACAAGTCTGCCAATGCAGTTGCGGAAGCCCTACAAATCTGGATACAGTTTTACGGAGTTCCCGAGAGGATCACATCAGACGGTGGCAGAGAATTCGACAATACCGCGATTAGGGAGGAGGTGAAAAGGTTAGAGGTTGTGTGGCATTATAACACACCGGGACACCCTAAGAGTAGAGGAGGAATCGAACGTTTGCACAGCACGTTGAGTGACCACATCCGTGTATATCAGGGAGAGAAAGGGTTGGAGCCGGATGTTGCGATGAAGAAAGCCGTAACAGCTTACAACCATTCGATCCACTCCGTAACGGGGTTTTCACCTGTGGAAATACTATTCGGGATGCGCAGGCCAAGGAGAGATTGGGGGGAAACAACGACCAATGAACATCTCGTAGAGCAAATCCAGAGTACTAGGGTAGAGGTAGGAAAGACGTGGGGAAAGGTAGCGGGGAGAATTCAGCGGGAAAAGGAGAAGCGGGTAGCGCGGCAGAATGTGCAGGTACGTGACCGAATGGGAGAATTAAAAATCGGAACAATAGTGTATCGTAGAATTGGAACCAACAGAGGGAAACAATTGTTACGGTACGAGGGCCCATTCAGAGTGGTTGCTATTAGGGAGCATAATCTGGTAACCATTGAAAGCATTAACGAACCTAAGAAGAGGAGAACTGTTCATATTGAACAATTGAAGCTCCCAATGTTAGAACCGGTACAGAAACCAACTGATTCGTAGTACCCTTATCGCGTATTATAAAAAAATATGTTTTTTTTATTATTATTACTGTTGATGATGTCATTTTTTTTTATTATTTTTGTTGTTCTTGTAAATAAAGATATGGCAGCATAATAGAGGTGATTGTAATTTTTATAGGATTAAGAGTTCTGTTCCATTGTTAATAAGACGTTGTGTGTTTACTTTCTGTGGTTTATTTCTTTTTATTTATTTCTCGTTCCAGCGGAGTGGAAGTGAGGTTTGGTGTACTTTAAGTTTATACTGGTACGAATAATTGTAAAGGGTTAAGGCTGATACCGGTGGCTCCGATCTAGGAATTTATAAGTTTCCGAAAATCCTATTCGTAAACTGGTGGGGGGAGATAAAGACCGGAGACTGGCGATATCAGCCTTAATACCATCTTGTAATGTAAATAAACATAGCAATTGTATATAAGGCAGATTATTGAACGAATAAAGCAGTGTTTATTCAGAAGCCGTGAGTATTGTTTCTCGTTCCTCTTTCCTTCTTTTTTTTTATTTACAAAGCCCGGAGACGCTTAACTTATATATATATATATACTCAGAACTCAGGAGACCCTCCTGGGGCACACCCAACCTCTATAAAGTTGGCACCCTTATTCAAATAATTGATTAAAGGGGAAAACCTGGCGGTTGAGCGTGATCTAGGTGAAATCACAACCGTTGACCAAGAAACATTACTTCCTTACAAAACACTGAACCCAAGACACTTCATGGGTTGTACTGGTACATGTTTATATTAGATTGTACCGTCCCTGTTTCTTTGATGAGCGTATAAAATCCTAAGATTGAAACCTCGTTTATGTATAGCACAAATACTTGTTCATTTTTATAATTATATGCTGATATAAAATATGTAATGATATACTCAATAAAGATATTAACACATAATAACATGTATAATAACTATTAAACTATACGTTTTATTTAAATATCTTTTACAGCTAGTTGCAGCCACGACAGATCTGTAGAGGTGTTTGCTGAATCGATCAACAATCCGGATGGATTCTTCGGGCAACCCTGTCAAGTCCGAAACTCCATCACGGGACTATTTCTAGAAGTATGTCCTTACACTAGAAATAATACGATCGTTGTCAGAGTAGGGGAAGACATCAGCCATGAGTGAGTGGAATCTTTTATTAATGACTAAGTCTTGCATTAAGACACAGGCACATTCATTCATCATTTATATTTTAATTCGATACTTCCATCAACTTCCAATTTTGAAGAAGAGTTGGTTGTAACGATAAAAACGCAAAACTTTCCGAATTTTTCCGATCCATATTTGCAGAGATATTAAGTGTCAAAGAAAAGTAGTGGGGATGGAGGTACACCACGAGAATGGAGACACGGCCAAGTCATGAACTGCCACGCCTAGCTCATACCGTCAGATACATTAAAATGATGTTTTCAGCTTCAAAACTTTCGTCCAAGAAATATCTTTCCGTTTTTTATCCCACCTTATCGTCTCTGAGTTCAAATATGTATTTTTTATTTATTTAGTTCTACCCTTCTTCGCCTTTTGGCCTATAGGAGGTTAGGTCTTTTTCACCTAAGTATCGCCTGTTACTTTTTGTCACTTATTTAGAATTGTAACAGATTTATACAATTACACATGATTTAATAAATTATTAGGGTTTTTTTTATGAGGTTATAACCTGAATTTCAACGTATTGTTTTATTAAAAGTGCAAAATAAAAAAAAAAAAGAACTTCTTACATCTAAAAAAAAGTATGTTTGACTCATATATTTGTGAGTTTGTTTGCAGCATATTTGATAAAGTTAACCTTAACCTTTTTGTGACTACTCCAGCACTCACTAGACAAACGCTCTAAACTGCCAACTATTTACAAAAGACTCATATATATATTATCTGTTATTTTACTAAAAGTAATTGGCGATACAAAAAATACCTGAGAAAACTGTTTATTCCCGGGCCAGGGGATAAAAACTGGGAATTAATGCCAGAGTTAAAAGTTCCCCCGTCACCGGAACGTGAACTTCTAATTATTTTTTATTATAAATTTCGGTTTTCAGGTTGTCGGGCAACGCGCGGTGCAGTGCACACGTGTTAGCCCGCTCGGCGACACCGCTCCCCCAATATTCAGTTTAAAATTTATTTTCCTGGATTTTATAATTGCATGTGTACACTAGCGGTTTCACGGGAAAGAAATCTTCTTCTGCCTCATGAAAAAATTATACATATATATATATATATATATATATATATATATATATATATATATATATATATATATATATATATTAATGTCCTATACTCATTCTTGTGAACTGGGCTGAATACTTAAATAATCACAATAATTTCTTCTATCAAAATATAAGGCATGTGAATCATGAATGTGCAGGCATGTGCTACTAAATGCAAGCTTGTATCGTGAAAATATATTTTTTTAAATATTCCTTTATTGAGTACTTGCATGAATTTTTATTCGTCGATGAATATTTTTTTATTGCGATAACAACGTAGATAGTCCCGAATATTTCAGATCAATATAAAGATAATGCCGCAAGCGTGAAGCTTACGCTGCTGGACTTTTACTTTCGCGTTTTTTTACTTTTACCTTGTAGATCTTATGGTACGCGATGTGATCTCATTACAGACCTATACTGCTTGTAGGAGCACGGACCGTAGTTTTTAAGGTGGGAGGCAGCGGTCAAAATTTTTGAGGGGGCACATTTTGGCGGTGATCTAAATTTTTGAGGATGGACATTTCGACAAGATAATGAATTTTTCGATTAAAAACTTTTCAACAAGGGAACAAGAGGAAGAACATGGACAAGACCACAGGAAGAGAAATTATATATGATCTACGATTTTTCTCATTATAAGTTCGCTTTAATAGTTTTCAAGAAGATGAAAGCAATAATATTTCTTGGAAGGTAGGGAAAGTTCATGCGCCATCTACAGCCAATCCATTTTGGCACTGATCTGGCAGTATCTTTCGCACCGACTCAATCAGATTCAAGAATAGTTACAAAGCCGTATGATTATAGCATTTTTACCACACGAGGGCTACTGACATTCTAGAAAATAACCTCACGATACCCAATTAAAGTACACAGGGTAGAGACATCACTTTACACCAGTAGTTATGTGAGGCACGTCAGACTACAAGGGGGAGAGATTTCAGGCAGCTTTGCTTTCCACGATTCGGGCGGTCACTCATCCAAGTACTTACCATCCTCGATATTGCTTTACATTCATTGCCTATGCCTTAGTCCACTTTGCCATCCCTACCTTATACTTTTTTTAGTATAGAATAGTGTTTATAAATTCCATACTTCCAGCCAAAACATATCTTTCCGTTTTTTCTCCCACCCTGCCTTTTCTTAAGGTTTTATAAATGCATGCTCATAAAGAAGAGCTGAGAGAAGTTTTAGCATCCATACATTTCACGCTAGTGGTCTCAGGCCACACATCGCAGACGAACTGTTATTTCAAAATATGAACCACTTTTATTATTTGAAAAATGCAATATTTTATACCTCCTTTATCACTTTAATTGTTTTGCAGCTGAAATGTATGCGATTGTTTCTCTATGCAAGTACCTAATTATACGTGTTGCATATTATTAATTTAAATATCATTGTTTTCAGCGTTCGAGGATCATTTAAGATTGAAACTAATGCCAGCCCACCGTACGCAAGAGGTCGTCCGGAGTAAGAGACTTTAATGATGTACTGATACAGGAAACTGTATTATTTAAATAAACTTTTCATAAGCCTCAATCAATTTATTTTAATCCTTTATATAAGACAACATTTATTTAATTGTATACATTTTAAAATTGTGATCGACGAGGGAGGATATGTTTATTGTAAAACTATATTGGAGAAAAAAATACATGGTTTCTAAGATTAACTGGTCGCTCCATCGTCAAACAAATAGAAAATATTTCACTTTTATTCCCATTTTATTTCCCAGTCCGCTGGTGTTCCTCAAGGTAGTATCCTAGGTCCTATCCTTTATACAATTTATACAGCTGACATCCCTACCTGTCCCAACACCGTAATCACCACATATGCCGATGACACATGTATCCTATCAGTAAATACTGACCCAGCAATTGCATCCCAAATGCTTCAATCACACATCATAAATCTTGAAGAATGGTGTCAAAACTGGAGAATTAAAATAAACTCCAATAAATCCCACCAAATTACCTTTACCCTTCGTCGTAAACCAACGACTTCCTGTCCTACAGTTTCCTTTAACAATACTCCACTTATCCCTGTTGAGCAAATCCGATACCTAGGACTCCACCTGGACAAACGACTAACTTGGAATCCTCATACTAGACTGAAACGACAAGAAACCGCTCGACGTTTCCGATTACTTCAGCACTTACTAGACAAACGCTCTAAACTTCCAATTAATTACAAAAGACCCATATACTTCAACAAGGGAACAAGAGAAAGAATATGGACAAGACCACAGGAAGAGAAATTATATATGATCTACGATTTTTCTCATTATATGTTCGCTTGAATAGTTTTCAAGAAGATGAAAGCAATAATATTTCTTGGAAGGTAGAGAAAGTTCATGCGCCATCTACAGCCTATCCATTTTGGGACTAATCTGGCAGTATCTTTCGCACCGACTCAATCAGATTCAAGAATAGTTACAAAGCCGTATGATTATAGCATTTTTACCACACGAGGGCTACTGACATTCTAGAAAATAACCTCACGATACCCAATTAAAGTACACAGGGTAGAGACATCACTTTACACCAGTAGTTATGTGAGGCACGTCAGACTACAAGGGGGAGAGATTTCAGGCAGCTTTGCTTTCCACGATTCGGGCGGTCACTCATCCAAGTACTTACCATCCTCGATATTGCTTTACATTCATTGCCTATGCCTTAGTCCACTTTGCCATCCCTACCTTATACTTTTTTTAGTATAGAATAGTGTTTATAAATTCCATACTTCCAGCCAAAACATATCTTTCCGTTTTTTCTCCCACCCTGCCTTTTCTTAAGGTTTTATAAATGCATGCTCATAAAGAAGAGCTGAGAGAAGTTTTAGCATCCATACATTTCACGCTAGTGGTCTCAGGCCACACATCGCAGACGAACTGTTATTTCAAAATATGAACCACTTTTATTATTTGAAAAATGCAATATTTTATACCTCCTTTATCACTTTAATTGTTTTGCAGCTGAAATGTATGCGATTGTTTCTCTATGCAAGTACCTAATTATACGTGTTGCATATTATTAATTTAAATATCATTGTTTTCAGCGTTCGAGGATCATTTAAGATTGAAACTAATGCCAGCCCACCGTACGCAAGAGGTCGTCCGGAGTAAGAGACTTTAATGATGTACTGATACAGGAAACTGTATTATTTAAATAAACTTTTCATAAGCCTCAATCAATTTATTTTAATCCTTTATATAAGACAACATTTATTTAATTGTATACATTTTAAAATTGTGATCGACGAGGGAGGATATGTTTATTGTAAAACTATATTGGAGAAAAAAATACATGGTTTCTAAGATTAACTGGTCGCTCCATCGTCAAACAAATAGAAAATATTTCACTTTTATTCCCATTTTATTTCCCAGTCCGCTGGTGTTCCTCAAGGTAGTATCCTAGGTCCTATCCTTTATACAATTTATACAGCTGACATCCCTACCTGTCCCAACACCGTAATCACCACATATGCCGATGACACATGTATCCTATCAGTAAATACTGACCCAGCAATTGCATCCCAAATGCTTCAATCACACATCATAAATCTTGAAGAATGGTGTCAAAACTGGAGAATTAAAATAAACTCCAATAAATCCCACCAAATTACCTTTACCCTTCGTCGTAAACCAACGACTTCCTGTCCTACAGTTTCCTTTAACAATACTCCACTTATCCCTGTTGAGCAAATCCGATACCTAGGACTCCACCTGGACAAACGACTAACTTGGAATCCTCATACTAGACTGAAACGACAAGAAACCGCTCGACGTTTCCGATTACTTCAGCACTTACTAGACAAACGCTCTAAACTTCCAATTAATTACAAAAGACCCATATACTTGACTATAATAAGGCCTATTTGGACTTACGGAGTTGAGCTATGGGGCTTCACCAAACCATCGAATTTCTCTCGCATCCAATCCTTACAATCCAAAATTCTTCGTAAAATCCTCAATGCTCCCTACTTTGTTACAAATAAAACCATCCATAATGACCTTAATGTTTCTTTTGTTTCAGATCTGGCCCAATCCAGATACCTATCCTTCCATAATAAACTTCAGAATCATCCCAACCCTCTCGTTTCTATCCTTGCTTCCTCTTCAATTCCTGATAGCCCTCCGAGGCGTCTGAAAAGAAAATGGCCCCGTGATCTCCTAATGTAGACATATCATTAGAGTGCTACCATTGGGTAGTTACTCAGCAAGTATTTTTCATGTCACTATATACACTATGTTCAAATTTACTAGTTGTATTTATTTAATACAGTTGTAAATGTCTTCAAGAAATAAAAAAAAATTGACATTTTAGTGAACTTAAAAGTTCTAAAACGGCTAATCTCTAAAAAATATAGATTAATGTGTTGTCCGAGACAGAACTATTTTAAGAGAGTTACAGTGATTGATTCTCACATTCTATTAAATTTTAAAAAGGAACACTGGTATATTTCGGGCACCACTGTTTCGATACCAAAGTTAGCAATTTGGACACATAGAAGTTAATGTTTTCGGTAAAATGACCCTTTGTCGATGAAATGACCCTTAATATCTTGTTCAGATTAATAAAAAAAAATTTAAAAAGATAAAATTATAAATATTTAAATCATATAGAAAAGAAAAAAAAAATCAAAATATTTCGTGCATCCCCACTACTTTCGACCTTGTTCGATGTTTATAAATCCGATCTTCGTTAATCGAACAAATACAGTCGAGATGTGTCTGCTCCTATTGATTGGTACGTTTCATTTAAATGTTCATTAGTGCCAAACACCATTTTCATAATTAGATTATTAAAAAATAAATAAATTATAAAAATTTAATTTTATATAAATTATGTCTTAAATTCATTGATTAATTTAAAATTCTTAAAACTGCGTTAAACTCTTTTCGCTATTAATGTTCAAGTAGATATAGAATGAATAATAAAAGAGCTGTGTTGCAAAAATTAAAGTAGTATAGATTTTAAAAGTGGCAATGTTCGGACTCGTTTCTCAGGTCTAAAAACGCAGTTTTCACTTTTTTAATAAAATTCCACATATTAAATATGCGGGAAATGTATTGCTGTTTAAAATTGATAATGACATATTTATGCCAAAAATGCATTGGGAGCGAATTATCGTAGATAAACTAAAAAAACTTTTCTAAGCGAAAAACGCAAACTTTTTTAGGCACGTTTTGCACTTTTTGTGGAGAGTGAATTAGGTTGAGCCGTCAGATTTCCTATGTGTAACGCTCGGATAAATACGCCTGGAGTCAACTAATTGAAGTGTTTTTGTACAATTGTCCCACATCTTGAAAAGGTGTTTTTTTTATATATGTATTTCATTGAGATGATGTCTCATAAATTATAGGTACAAAAATAACAGCACCTATAATTTTTTAATGCGTTCGAACGTTGTCTGCTAAAACATACCTATTTTCCTTAATTGAATCGTGATATTATCCAACTGAAATTGTCCTCATTGCACAATATCACACATGGAAACAAAAAATAAAAACACTGCAAATTATTTCACAATGGTTTATTATCTCCAAACAATTATACGACTAAAGTAACATTACCTTCCAAGTTACAAAGAAAAAAAAAAACAAAAGATGATTCCAATTATTGGACTAAACTGTTTCTCTTTAATCATTAGTAATATGCTAAAAAAAATAGCATTACTTCAGTAACACATTTAAAGTTTAAAAACCAAACCAAGGATATAACATTTGGAGTAGAACACATTTTAAAAAACCGGAGGCCATATCTTTGCTCCTAATTGTCCGATTTTAACGAGTTTTTTTTTTTTTTTTTAGGAAATTTCGTAAACTTTTAAAAAACTATATACAATATCGTTTTTCGAATTCTACGCGTTTTGAAACGTGAAACCTCAAATTTTGAGAGGGGGTTACGTTTTTGAATTTTTTGGTCGATCACAATGTTTCATTATTGAAAATAATTAACCAAAATATGTAAAAACCGCGATATCTTTACTAATAGTGCTTTGATTTCGATGAAACTTCCTTCATTTTTCAGGAAATTTAAATACCTTTGAAACATCTCATCAAAATATCAACAAAAAAGTAAAAACTTTTCGAGTTATTCGGAATTTAATTTTACCATCCCTCGTAACTTTTTTTCCACCTTCTTTTCGTTGAAGTATAGATAAATTTAAAGGGCGTCGAGAAAATGACTTTAGCGAAGTTTCATTGAAATCTGTACATTCGTTTAGGAGCTACAGTCTATAGCAACGCAGGTTTTTGGGCCGCCATTTTGAAAGTTAAGGTCGGAGAGTAATGTCGATGAAGGAGGATCATCCTCGGGAGACCTCTGATTTTATATAAAAATTTGAAGAAAAAAAAATCGGTCCAGTAGTTTCGGAGAAAATGCGCGGACGGCGGACGGACAAAAAAATTTCATTCGTTTTTGGAATTCTACTCGTCTTGAAACGTGAAACCTCATATTTTGAGAGGGGGTTATGTTTTTGAATTTTTTGGTCGATCACAATGTTTCATTATTGAAAATAATAAATCAATAGGAATGAAAGACAGTTCAATGTGGATTTTAAAATGAAAAACATTTTATTTATTCATTTCAATTTGGATGCTTTAAATAAAACCTGCATCCACTGATTAACGTTAAATAAATAGAGTCAATTTGATTTCATTGAGTTCCTTGATTTTTGCTAAATATTTACACTGTTAATTGATCGATTCATTGATCCATTAATAGAAACGCGTCACAAAATAACAATACTTGTTTTTTATTGACTGGTAATATTAGTAATGTCTGTATAATCATTGTTGGTACGCAATGCCTTAGACATTAGACTTCCCCGGACAATGACGTCATATCCCTCCAAACATTATTTCTTAAGCCGCTTATACAAATTAATATATGAATAGTAATTCATTCAATATCTCTCTAATTCAGTATCTTTATGATTAGAATAAATTTAATTATTCTTATGTGTTTATAATTTATTTTTTTTATTCCTAACGAGTGACAGGTGCCCCCTTTCAGGTAGGCGTCCACAGACAATTGCTTGGTCCTAAGATACAGATAATACCAAATGTTTAACAAAGTGTAGAAATACGGATTAAGTTGGAAGTAAGTATTTGGTCAAAAATAAATAAATATAAAAGTTGTCACAGACGCCGAAGTAATAAGAAAACACCCTTTCCTTGCCTAGGATACAAGGAGATTTTCCTGTGCCAGGGGAGAGGTCAGGGGATTGGATGAACGTCAAGTTATAAGTCTGCGGTACCGAAACGCGAACTCGTAATCATATGGCCGACTAACGCATTTTCTGAGATATATAGGAGGTTTAATAGAAATAACCTAGAAATGACAAACCGAAGTAGCAAATAAATCCAAACCAATTACAAATAAAAGTCTGCTTTAAATACCTGCTACGAATTACTTGTTACAAAGCCTTATTTTTTTATTTATTAAAAATTTTAAATGAACTTTGAATCTTATGCTTATTTGAATTTTGGAAGGCGGTTGATATTTAATACTAATGATAACCCACATGCTTCGGTCAAAACATCAGAAAACTTCATTTTTCTACTTTAGACATTTTTTTTAAAAATTATCTTTTTATTTATATATAAATTCATTTATTGTCCTAAGGATTAAAGAGTACGCTGTGTATACAGCAAACCAATATAATTGAGCAGCAATCTTTTATATTTTTATGAAAATAAAGTTTTTCTCTCTCCAGCTTATGGGTCAATCCATTAATCATACTTTGTATTTAATGTTTATTAATGAACGTTTCGGTGTTTCTTTGTATATGATATGCCCCAAAATTTGTTAAGTCCAAGTTACTCATTTATTTGGTCAATGGCCTTCAATTTTTTTAGTAGAACTTAGGCCATTAAACAAACTTAATAGTAACTTAGACTTATTTAATTTTGGAGGATATAATATTCTGAAGGGAGGGGGAGAAATATTCCTCGAAACGCTCATTAATAAACAATAATCAAAAACTAAATCTAATCATTATATTGACCTATAGCCAAAACCTAGTTGGTTAATAAACTTAAAAAAAAAATTGTATTCTTATAATTATAATACTCAACTATAATTCCATCTCTAAATTTCTAATTATATTTGTTT